GGCACAGATCACGTTTCTTAAGGTGATAACACGACTTATATTTTGGTAACAATCTGAAAATTTTATTACAAATTTTAAGACTCAAGATATTCTGCGGAATAAGTTGCTTGCTGGGTTGCTCAAACAAGAGTTTTTTGCGATTATCTCGGAAACTACTCAACCGATTTAGACGATTTAGACGATGATAATTCTTTATTTTATGCTTTTTTACTTTTTACTTAGATAAATCTACATGATTTTTATTTCTTCCTTTATTGAATCTTTTTTTATTTTTTTGCAAACTTATTTTTAAATTGCTCCCAGATGCTGAAGCACTTAATTCTTTTACAGCACATATTAAATGTATTTGTAATCATATATTCGTTTTAATTGAATTAAACACCACCATAGACAGCCATCTGTGCGCGAAAGTTTAATGGTGATTGAGCAAATCATTTTTTTAAATTAATTAACAACTTACAAAAAATGTAGATGTAGATTGTACCCGTTTACATTTTATAGGTATGGGAGAAGTCAGTTCACATGAATTTTAAAAAAAAATTACAATAATGATATATAATCAAAGCTCATTGGTGATGGAGAAGCAATCAGCACTCAAAAATTGTTATTAGTTCGGCACTTGAAGGTGCTTAATGTGCTTATGGCCAGACTGCTGAAGTTTAAAAATAAACAGTTTATCGCCATCTCATGAGAAAATTGAAGTTATGCTTCAATGACTTGCACAAAAATTCATTAAAGAAGGTCCAATTGATCTAAAAGATTTCCATTTGAATCTTGTAGAAAAGTTAAGAAGTAAAAGAATTAGAAAAAGAGAGAAAGAATTTCATTCTGAGATTTTTTATTCATTTTCTCTATGCCTCCATTGTTCTCATGTCCATTCAAAATAACAACTTCAAATGAAACGGAAGTTCCTTTTTAAAATTACTTTTTAAAAAAGTTCTTCAATGAAAATTGGAGTTTAAAAATAGTTTCTTTCAAGCAATTGTGAATGCTCATCGCCCCACACTTTACTTACCTATGAATACCACGCTCAAATATTAATAGGCACCATTGTAATTATAGAGTTTACACTTTAAAAGTTAGATTAATATATATAGACACAAAATTGAAATCAAAAAGTGAGAAAATTTACACAAAAATAATAATTACAGTAAATTCTATCAATGGATCTTTCTTTTCAATCAAGAAACTAAAATTTATTAAAACCACATTTATATACAAATAAAAGGCTAAAATATCAATCATTTTCCAATGAGGATGATAATAATGCAACAAGTGCTATCTATTAAGCAATTTAAATACAAAAAATTATAAACATCCCCTAAAGGAGCACAAAAGAGAAAAATAGTTAAAAGATTATCATGTGATTAATCTCCATAAAATTGCTTGATTGTTTGTAGCTTCACAGCACTTTAAAATAAAAAAAAATCATTCATAAAATAAAAAAATTTAAGGGGTTAAATATTAAATCTGCACTTCACATTGCTCGAGGGACTTTTTGAGGCTGTTTTTCCTTCTGGAATCGCAATTGAATACAATACGTTCTTTAAATTGTTGTCCTTTCTATTCAAATCTGAAGAAGTAGAATGGATAAAATGCTTTGTAATTGTATGTGTGAACAGTAAAAATAAATAACAATAAAAATGTATAATTTAAATATCAAAATCATGTCAAATTCACACTTTTTTCGATTCTTTTCTCCTTTTTTATCTAAATGTCAAACACCAGGGCAAAGAATTCATGAAATAAAGGAAAAATAAAGTTTAATGGGAAGCATAAGAAAGAGGAGTGGTAAATGGAAGTAAAAAAAATCATGTATTATATTCTTTCAGCACTGGAGATGGATAACAATAGTTCTGTCATAACATATTTCCGCTTTTGGTAACAGTAACAAAATATTTTAAAAGATATGCATATGTTGGATATAAAATGGACTAGTCGAAACGCATTTAATATTTTTAAATTAAATATTTTTTTAAAAACATATTGACAGCGTTATATTTTACAAATAGAGCTTTTTAAAATTCAGTTGTAAATTCATCACAACGATTCTCAACTATTCGTATTGAGTTGTTTTTCAAAAAAAAAAATATTTTTAAAAAAACATAAGTGAATAATAAAAAAAAAAACAAGGAAAATTGACACACATATTGCATACCATTGTAATTTAATGTCATGTTTTGCACCCCCGATCTATTTCGCTTTATATTTTACAAAATAATTTCAATTGTTATTGTGAATAAAAATTTTACGGTTTTTAAATAAATGTGTGAAAAATAACAATGAAAGGTAGGATTTATTGCAATGTTAAGTGTGTTTAAACATTTTGAGTCCTTTTATAGAAATTAAAGTTTTTGTTTAAGGTTCGACAAAATTTTATATAAAATCATTATTTATATTTTTAAAATAAAATAAACTATTAGTGTCAAAAAAGGTATAATATTAATAAATGTATAGTTGATTTTTATAACCTTTACTTAGAAAATTAGTTGAAGTTATTCCAAGTCAAGGTTTTTGAAACCTTTAATAGTTCCAAATGTCACAAAAAAAATTTAAAACATATTCCGATAATTATTATTTTTCTATATACGACTATAGGCTCTTCTGTTAAAACAATAAAAGATTATTGTCACCACTAGACTGAAGACAATTAAGAGTCAAATGGGCGTTTTATCAGAAATTAAAAAGTCAACTTTTGTTTTTGCTATAGCAATTGTTTCTCTATGGTGTGTGTGGCACAAGTTTTGAAGAAAAAAGGAATATCAAAAATTAAAAATAAATGGGACGTGGTGGTAATAAAATTGAGGGAAAATGAGTTTTTTTCGGGAGTCAGGTAGTTGCCAAAAAATAATTTTGTTTGGTAGTTTTTCTTTTAGTTTGTTGACTTTTATTGTTTTCAGTCCTTTCAAACAATAAAAGTCAAAAAAAATTGTTATTTACCTTTTTATATTTCTTGTTGTTGGCAATTTTTTTCACTGTTTCCAAAATTTATTGTTCTCAAGAAAAAGAAAGAAAGAACGTCTATAACTTTAATGGCTCATTTGTGCACATTATGATTATTGTATTCTATTGCTTTAGTTTGCATAAAAAACATATTTTTGAAGTAAAAACTAAAAAGAATAAATAGTTCGAAATAAAGCGCATTTTAAATATAGTGTTCTATTTCGACTATTTTATATTTATATTGAATTTTTGTTTGTTGTGAATGTTTTAAAAGTTTCTTGTTTAAAATTGTAAATGGCCCAATATGCATTTCCAATCAACATTGATTTACTATTTCAAAGCAGTTTTTTAGGATTTTAAAATGAACATGTCTGATAAATTAGTGTGTATACTTTGAGAATTGTTTATGAGATGCAATATAATACAAATGCAAATTTTTACTATTGTAATTCCAAGAAGCAATTTACTCAAAACAATATTTTCCTGTTAAGAACAAATAAAGATTTAAATATTTATTTTTACAACTTTTTCTCGTGATAATATTCAAAATATTTTGTTGTACATATTTCAAGAGTTTGCAGTTGTCTAATTTAATAAAAGATTACAATAATCATTGTGGTAAACATGCTGTATGACTGCACTTTTATCATCAATGTTTGATATAAAGTATTTTAGGGCCATTATACAATTTTTCCCCTACATCATATTTTTTATGTTTCACAAAAGAGAAGAGACATACATGCAATCAGACAATAAAAGAAATTGTAACAAAATATCTCATTTAAGCATCAATAAATTCATACATACAGCAGTAACAGATATTACAATGCGAAACATCATAGTCATACGAGTAATAAGAATGATACAAATAATACAATATTTAGCAATTTAGTAGTTCAATTAACAATAAATTCCATTATTCTTAATAGAGAATAGAAATCTTTAATATTACATTGGACTTAACAATTGAATTCAATTTTGACTGACCAAAAATAGTTTCCGTAACTCAACTTATTTTTTCAATCAATTTTTAATGAAAGTAATTCTATTTCATTTAAACTGAGTTATACGCTACATTGCGAATGTATATATCTGATTATTGCTCTTATATTCAATTAAATTAAAATGAATAGACATTTTTTTATTTATATATTGTTTTGAAGCACCATTATATTGCAGTATGTGGAATTTATTATAAAATATCGCCAGAACGACATACATAATGCATCATTGATCCTAAAAGGGAGGCGTTTTACCGAAATAAGGAGACGTAGAGTTTACAACAAAACTACAAAAATAATATACAAATTCACATCACAATTTAGCATACAAAGAGGATCCTTACAATGAGGCACGTATAAAAACATGGAACAAAATAGTAATTTTCTATCATTGTGCCTGAAACACACTCACTTTGACTCATATTTTTATTCATCGTTCAATTTTCGAATAAAAACAAAATTGTATATCATACAAAAAAATTTCAATACTTTTTCGAAATAAAACAATCGCTCGTGCATACATATATGTTTGGTTGCTATTTCACTGATAATACAATAAAAAAGTACAGTAGGGTAATGTTTAATCGAATACAATCGAATTGTATGATTTGAGAGGGGAGAGTAATGGCATGTAGCATAGTTAAAGCAAAAGGAGAAAATAAAGAAATAGAATAACCAATTATAAGAAAAAGGCATGGATAGAAATGAACCAATCACAACAATCACTTCACACACTAGCATACAATACGATTTGCCCAAACAAAAGCGATTTAAAGCTGTGCCAAGCGCGAATACAAAGGGGCTCCTTTTTTTCTATTATAATATGAGTGAGTGAGCAAATAGAGCCACAATACATGCATATATGTATAGATATTCATTGAGAGTATGAGAAGAAGAACAGTGAGAGAAGAGAAGAAAATATAAAAAAACACAATACAACAATAAATCCCGTATATCATAGTCAAAGCACAATTTTGTTTCATAATTCTTTCTTTTTTGCCCATTCTTTTCATTATATATTGTACCTTTTTTGTGTTCAACTATATCATATAGCAACAATACCTTGGTTTGAGCACACACAAAGCTAACCGGGGAGAATTAAAGAAAGGAAAGAAAAAACAAGAATTGAAGAAACAAGTTATTACAGATTTTTGCGTCGACGTGTGAACATCGTTTTGTAGCCGAGTGTCAAAAAATAATTATTTAAAAATTTCAAGGCATAAAATAGAACATTTAAAAAAATAAGATCTTTTTATAAAGTTTTGAAATATTCTGAAAATAAAAACTTTTCATCAAATGGAATAAGAAAAAACTAATGTTACGAAAAATAAATAAATAAAAACCTTAAATTAAAAAAAAAAATAAATAAATAAGAGACAATTTAAGTGACAAAAAAAATTAAAAATATTAAGTTCAGTGAAAAATATTAAAAATGGCAAGTTTAGCACATCCTCATCAAGTCTATGGTTTTGGAATACCAAACGGATTAGAAATTCCATCCGTTGGTGATTTCGCATCACATAATAATCATAGTCCGAACGATTCACACCTTAAACGAAATGGACTATCATTTTCCTCATCAATTGGACATCAGCAACATGCAATGATGAATAATGGAATGGGACAGGCACAAGGACAATTAGGAGGTCCTGGTCAAGATGGACATATTAAAAGACCAATGAATGCCTTTATGGTTTGGTCAAGAATGCAACGTCGCCAAATTGCAAAAGATAATCCAAAGCTTCATAATTCTGAGATCTCAAAAAGATTAGGCGCAGAATGGAAACTCTTAACAGAAATGCAGAAACGTCCCTTTATTGATGAAGCGAAACGTCTGAGAGCACTTCATATGAAAGAGCATCCAGATTATAAATATCGTCCACGAAGAAAACCAAAGAATCCATTGGCTCAGCAATCACAGAATCTTTCACTTTCAATGCAGCAACAAGCCAAACAATCAGCTCTTCAAAATTCTTACAATCCGTTCCACCCACAATTACCCCCATATTTTGCAGCTGCATCACATCCCTTAGATCAGCACTATTCCGTTCCATACTTCAGTGGTTTTGATCCCCTTGCATTATCAAAATTATCAGCCCAAACAAATAATAATCACCAAACAACGAATGCCAATACAATGATGAACCAATCACACCATCAATCAATGGAATCAACAAAAATTGCGACATCAACACCACAATCGTTAGTTGGATCGTTTTATTCAGGTCTTTATAATAATATAACATCACCTGCAGCTGCACTCTATTCACAAATGCATTCAAATGCCGTCGCTGGAATGTATACACCATCATCAACGTCATCAACATCCCCTGGTTCAAGTCCAAGTACAGGATCACAATCGGCTTTACCTGAGCTCGATTCATCATCACTTCGACGACCTGTTCCTGTTCTATATTAATTAACGATGCGTAGACGATATTTGAATTTTAATTCAGGGTGATTATTGTAAAAAATAAAAAAGAAAATCTAATAGTTTCTCTTATGTTTTTCGTAAATTTTCGAAATAAGAAAATTATTTAGATTAAGTAAGTGTTATTGACTCTAAATAATTGTACTATATAGTAAACATTAATGATAGATACACCTCAAATGATAGTTTCAAAAAATAAGAAAATGTTTGATTGATTAAATTTGCCACGATGGAATATAGTTTAACAGTTTTCTACTTAACATTTTCTTTGGAGATCATTTAATTTACATCCATCATATTCACAAAAACAAACGCTAAATTAAAAGTTCTTCCCATATTCTATACAGAAATTCATGAATACAGTTTAATTAAGAAACTTATTTTCTCACATCATTGTGTAAATAAAGGTGATAAATAGATTAATTTAGTTGAATGCTAATAAATAGATTTATATAAGCAAATAATTTTTATGAATATCGAATTATTATATTTTTTTCAATTTTAAATAGCTGCATCATAATGTTTAAATTTTGAAGAAAACAATCAGCTGACATTTCATTCAGTGTTCTAAAAAATTCATATTTTATTGTGTTAAACATTTAATCATTATGTTTCAAGTCAACTTAAGATTTCTAAATTCATCATAAATTTGTCTTCTTTTCATAAAAATATAAATCCAATGACTGATGTACAAAAAAAAGTATAAAATAAAAGGCGAAGAAAAAAGATTATACAATAAGGTTTTAAAATTAATTTTATTGCAAATTTTTATTTTTTGAAGAAAACAATTCAAAGAAAGAAACTAAAATCGTGCAAAAACTTTTATTAACGACGGTAAAACAGATTTTAAATGTGTATAGATAATTATTTGAATTGTGTTAGTGAAAGATAAAAAAAAAGTGTTTTAATAGCGGTTATTTTGTTCTTCATTCTTTCATTCATTATTATCATCATTGTTAATTGCAGAAGAAAAACTGAATTAATTTCTGATGAAAATAAAACAAATAAAAAGAATGAAAAGAAAAAGTTTAAAAATTAAATCAGATTTATTTTAATTGCTGTACCTATTTGAAACAAAATTAGAATAATTGCATTTTAATTCAATATATTGTAAATTAATTTTGTGAGAATTACTCATAAAAATAAATTTAATAAAAAATACACCAACATTAAAATAACTAGATTTTGCTGTTCTTTTTTTAATACTAGATAAAGATGGTCAAATTAGATCCGTTACTGTAAAGACATCTTCAAGCGAAGTTAAGCGACATGTGAATTATATCTGTAAAATTCCTATCGAGACGGCAGAGTGATGAATGGAATTCATCATGATTTAAGGAGGCTTGGAATATATTTGATATTTTGTTGAAATTGATAATTTGGAAATTGATCACGTATAATTTGAAATTGTGAATAAATAGAATTTTCTTCTGTAATTCTTTTTATTATTGGAATTGAAATACAGTCCACTGGAAAATCAACTTGCTATCGTTTTTTAATATTATTTTAAAATTTTCAGAATTATAATTTAAAAAATATCAATAAGTTCTTATAGAATTTTCTCCAAATATGTTTTTAAAGAACTAAAGGGCTGGGTTAAGTTTTAATAATTTTTATTTTGTATCTTCAATGTTATGTGTAGTAACGAAAGTGCACAGTTTATATTTTGATCATAAAATTGTTTATTTTTTTACTTTAGATAAAATAATAACCACTTAATTGCTACAATCTGCTTTCACTATAAATTGGCTGTCATATAAAATTATCACATGAGTATTTTTTTCAAACATAATAGTAAATTGCATGCAGAGATATTTCACCCTCTTTTATTATTTCAACAACGTGCATTCGAGTATGAATTCTAAGTATTATGGGTGATATTCTTCAATTGAGATTTTTTTATCTACATTTTTCTCTTCTTTCAAAGATCCCCTTGCAGTTGAGTTTGATACGTTTGTATGTATATTTTTATGCCTCAATTCCTATCGATTATTGAATAATTAAACTGATATAATCACTCAATTACTGAATTAACTCGCCATCAATACAGAATAACAATTCCTTTATATTTTCAGCAACTATTCCTCCCTTCAATAATATAAAACTATTCTCTGCTCGCATTTGTATGACGATCAAGTCAGTGGCAAATTGTTTTTTGTCAATTGTTTGTAAAGGTTATAGTTTTCCTCTCTCCTCTTCAATTTTTACATTTCGACATGGACTCTTTTGCATTATTTTAACAACATAATTATTTTAAAAAACCAATAATGTCTGACTATTAATAAAATTTAGTTCAACTCCTAAAATTTTTGTTTATGGAATAAATTTTTTCGAACCTACTTATGAGTTTAAGCGTAAAAAATGCGCTTTATCCTTTTTGTAAGGTAGATTTGTTCATTTTTGTTCTTATTTTTTGCTCGTTGTTTATACGATAGAGGAAAAAATAATAAAAAACGCATTTGTATTAAAAGGATCGTAATCCATTATTGTGTTGAAGACGAGTCTAATGAATAAATTAAATTTATATCCTCTCCATAAGTATCTGTAATTTTCAATTGTAACAACTACAACAATAGAGAAAAGAAAAATGAAATAAAATTATCGGGTGCGGGGATGGAAATTGATGATAATTTTCTATGGCACTTTTATATTTTTGTATTTTTATATCGGGTTGAATTCTATTGCGGCACACACCACACATCGTAACATATTGAAGTGATATAACAACAAACAATAGTCATTAGCGTATAGTAATGCATATTTGAGGATAGTGGTGGCTGACTGGCATTATACATTAAAATTAATAATTGAGAAATTTTACTAAAAGTTAACTGATGTTAAATGATTCCTAACCGTAAAAATGTAGTATTTGGGAAGTAATTTAAAATAGAAAAATATTAGAAAGAGTGGAGCAATAAAATGTTGTATATCATATTTTATTTATAACCGCTTGCTATAATTGCAGGAACCAAGAACAAGGAATTTTATTCATTTATTAATTAGGTTAATTTTTCAATTTAATTTCTGGATGTCTTTTTTATTACCGAAATGTTTCTATGCGTGTGTTGTACATTTTATAGCAAAGGACGAAAGCATTTTGTTATCTACTATAAAATGCTATGTTACCTTCTTTACAACTGATAATCATAATATAATATGAAAGGAGGTAATGTAACAAAATAGCTAAAACAAGAGAAATGGGTATAAAGTAATTAAAGGGTTAAAAAATAGTCTTGACTATGTTTATGATTCAATGCCAAATGAGAGATAAATTTTTATGTAATAAAGAACCCTAAATTACCACACTTATTTCTACTTTTCTAGCAAAGCTGGAACCCTTACAGTTTATAACTGAAAATTATTGCACATTTTATGAGTTATTCTTTCTATTTGAAAAACAGTATCCATTTTTTAACTCATAAAGAACGAAATATTAATGTAAAGAAATCTGCAAAGAAATATCGAAAAATTATGACTCATAAACAAGCAATTATGACATATTTATGATTTTCCAATTGATTTCATTTTTAAAATCACATACTTGAGATTAAGTATATCATATACACACTCCACATCATACATTAACCATTTCAAGCAATTTCAAGTGAGTGAAAACGGTTGTAATTATTTAAATTTATTGTTATGTGGGAAATATTTAGTAAACATCTGCAATATTCATTTTGTTTATAATAGTTGTGAGAACAAATAAAAAAAATATTATAAAACTCAACAAGCGAATATCACTATTGCAATTGTAACAGGATAAAAAATAATTTTTAATAAGTTCTAATAAAATAATTTGTCAAACCACCCTCAAATGTTATTTTAAAACCAGCGAGAATGTTAAATGAATATAAGGGGATGCGAGATGGAAGGTTATTAGATGAGCAAAAAATTTATTTTATTGCACTCTAAATTAATATTTGCGAGAGCAGGGTTGGTGGAATACAAAATTCATAAAAATTAAAATTCTATTTAAAAATGCCACAATTAATGTGATTATTAAAATTAATTATCACGGTATTCTGGCGTTTATAAAACTAAAACCTAAATCTACATCAATGCAATTTGTATAAAATAAAATAACATGAATTCGTAATAATTCTCTATCCTCTATTCATTGGGAAAAGCAAGAATTGATAAAAAGAGAACAAGTCTGTAGAGAATGATTAATGATGATTTTTATGCTGTTTACACAAAATAACATAACCATATAATGTTATTAATATTTTTATGATTTTATAAAGAACGCACATTTAATCCGCATATTTTCATGGCTCGAGAATTCATTAATATCTTCAAAAATCACAATGAAAATGAAATAAATGAAACTGAGTGTACAGCATATAACACATTAAAATAAACCAAAGAGTACAAAAAAGCATGAAAAAGAATTTTTCAATATAATGATACAATTTTTACTTTGGTTATTTTTCATTGCTATAAATAAAATGTTCGCCTAAGTTTTGATTGTTATGCTTTATTTTCCTTTTCAACAAAAAAAAAAAAAAAAAAACAGAATATGTAATTAGAGAAATGTTTTTATTTGTGAATTACAAACTTTAACTTTAGAACAATAAAGAAATCCTCTAGTATCTAGACTCATTTTCAACACTCCAAGAAAATAGTTTATCGATAATAATTCAATTTCAAAAATATTATTTCCTATTCATCTTTAATGATTTACATGTCTACATAACATTACAAACAACACGTTCTCTTCAATTTTTTATCAACATCCAAAACTATCTATATATCGATTAACACTCCATAGGTAATCTTTGTTTTGAAAATACAAGTAGTTTCCTTTAGAAAAATTCAAGAGAAACGTTCATTTATACATTAAATAGTATAATAGCATGATGATGAATGTTGTCTGACTTAAGCACACAAACCTGTTGTCGAAGAGTTGTCTATGCTATTGACTTTTAAAACTGAAATAAAAACAAAACTTTAACGCCACTGTTTACATTGGTATGCAGTAAAAAAAATAATATTTTAATTCATTTTTCTTGCGATAAACTTTCGGTCTTTTTAAATTCGCATTTTCTGAGTATTAACATATGAAAATATATGTATCAGGAAGAATTTAGTTATATAATTATTAAATTTGTTCCTACTAGTGGATAAAAAAAAGTAGAAAAATACAATTATACCTTAAATTTAATCAACATTATTTCTGCAAAAATTATTAATGCGGTTCTCTAAGAAATTCTTTATTAAAATTAAATATTCGAAAAACGTAAAACTACGATGGAAAAATGAGAAGAATTTTAAACACAAACACAAATCACATGCATGGCTAGTTTACCAGAAAATTATTTTCAATTATTTAAGTAAACTTGTTCCTCATTTTTACTAACAGAAGTCACAAGAAAAGTACATTACAACATTTTGTTTTCATAGATCATTTTTTTTTTGTATTAACGTATAAGTGATGATAATAATGATGATGCTGAAGACATCGTATGTGTTAATTTGTTTCTAAACGAATATTGTTTGAATTGTAAACA